TGTGTGTGTGCAGGCACCCTGTGTGTCCTGACCTCAGTGCATGACCTTACTCAACAAACAAAAGACATTTCAAAAGAAAACTCCCTGACTCCGTTTGAGTCATGTGTTGCCAGGCAGACTTCAATGCAACATGAGGGCACACAGGCCTTTATTATCTCCTTGCATAATATGTGGTGAATTGTAAGCATGTAGGCAATCCTTCATTAGCCCAGTAGGTATTCCAATTGATCGATCAAACTCACGCTGACCGAAGCTTCCGACCATTATCAACTGAGCTTCAACTCTGCAATTAGCACAAAAATGCAATATGTGTATAACATGATTAGAGCTGCACCTGCAATAAAAGATTATTATGTGGTTCAGCTAACACCTGAAATACAAACTTTAACGTAACATCAACAGTTTCAATAAATGCTCTAATCAAATGATGATAACTCATAAGTGATAATAAATCATAGATGATGCAACAGTAATAATAATGATTACGAATAGTAACAGTAAAATAATTTTCTCATCCCGACAGAGGTCAGTTCCTTAATCATAATTAAATTAAATATTATTATATTATTAATTATTATGATTAAGGAACTGACCTCACAGCCCATTGTTCCTTCAGTGGGCTGGTTTCAGTCATTATGCAAATGTACTGTTTATAAGATTGGGGAAACCTGCAGTCAGCTGAGACTGAAGAAGTCACTTGGATGAGTGACGAAACGTTTCTCCCAGACAACGCTACGTCCAGATGAACAGAATCAACTTTTGGAGACAGCTCTAGTGATGTGTCGGTCGCGAACGAAACGGCTCTTAGAGCCGACTCTTTAAAGTGAACAACGCGAGTTGCACCCTCTCTCACACTTTTTTCCGCTTCACTCCGCAGGTGAGCCTTGTGCTTTGCGCTGGGAAGAGGGGGGAGGGCCGGTAGTTACACTCGCAGTAGCACAGGAACAGAGCTGAAGGGAAAGAGAGAGAAAGAGAGCCAGGGACAACAACGTCACATTAGAAAGGTATAGTGATCATCCACAACTATTTTCAGTTGCGGATGATAAAGGATTCAGAAGTTTATTCATGCAGGCCCATATGACAGAGAATGTGCATCTTCTTTTTGTTTTCATATTTTTTCACATTTATATTTAATTGTGTTGTGGTTTGCAGTGTTTTGTGTTGTTTCACTTTAAATTTGTTTAAAAGGAAAAAGCTGACAATTTAAATAGTTAAAAGTTGAACTGTGAATAGTTGGTTTTTGTATTATATGTATTATATTTATTACATTTTATGTGGAGTGAATAAATAAAAGTATATTTACAGTGGCCCCTAGAGACAAAGCACGTACAAACTCCAAAACAGGTAAAGACTCCATAGCACGTACAAACTCCAAAGCACATACAAACCCCGAAGCACGTAAAAACTCCAAAACACATAAAAACTCTGAAGCACTTACAAAGTCCGAAGCACGTACAAAAC